CCTTCTCGGCCTTAAATGTACACATAGAGCAAATGCATACACCTAAAGGTGCCAAAGGGACTTGCCCATGCACCTCTCTTGATTCTTGGACAAGTTTTGGATTTCACTGTCCTGGCAGGCTGTAAAAACCTCAGACAAATGGCTCCATGATCCCACATGCTTGTAAATCTCTTCTCTTGCTGGTGCCCTCCTTGGCCAGCTGCGGAGAGGCTGTGTCTTCCTGAAGCAGCGAAGGCAGTGCTCTGGCACGCTGGAGAACCACTGGGAGGGGGCAGGCAGCTGACAGCATTCAGAAAATTGTATGCCCCCTGAGGTGGCCCTTTGGCCAAGCACCTTATCTTTATGGGCAGCCATGGTGAGCGGCCAAGGTGGGGAGATCAGCTGGGCCGTGGGGAGCCTGGGCAAGTGAGCGAGTAAAGGAGCCAGAGAGCAGCTGGGCTGCAGGCATGACTCTAGCCACTGGCCAAGGCAGGCGAGGCAAGATAAGGAGTGACTGGGAGTGGAGGGGCAGAGTGTTGGCATTTTCCAGTCCATTGAACTGTGCATAATCTTAATTATGTATGCCCGAACAATTTGAACCAGCAGCAGCCCACCTCTGGCTGCGGCAAAGGCAAGCAAGCAGGCTGGGCCGTGTGGCCATGTGGTCAAGGTAAGGGAGCCAAAGAACAGATGCAGCTATGCTGCGGTGTGCCTCTAAGGCACCAGCCAAGGCATGATAGGCCAATAAGTAGTGGTGGGGTGGGGTGGGGGTGAGGGCAGACAGCAATTTAACAACCGGTTTGGCTGAAGTGGTGTGAACTGGTTGAATCCCACCATTGCCTATTACCACAAATGTCAAAGAAAACAAAGATTCTAATTTTTTGGGTGGTTAGGAAGAGAAAGCTACACCAGGTAAAATTCACTTAGCTACATTAGTATTTAAATTCAGGATATGTGACCTGTTGTTCAATGTCATCCAACTTCACATTCTTAGATAATTTCCCAAGCAAAATACTATAAAGGGTAGCTAAAATATTTTGCTCACATATCAACAAAAGAATAGAAGATAGTTTTAGGGACAATTGTATTGGAACGTAAATCAATAATGACTTTAAAAGGCTTATTTCTCCTTTTCATGTTTATAGAGTATCAATTAATATATTTTCTGTTCTCCACATTAAAAAAAAAAGCTCTGAGATTTAATTCCATGCATTTAATTTGCTTTCTTTAAGGTCTAAGTTAAGTTGAAAATATATTTTCATTGAATTACCTGCAGATTCCTTTCAGGCTCTTTCCAAGCTGTGCAAATATTTGCCCACTAGATGAAAATCACTTTATGGATAATGAAGGCCTTGTCCTAATGTTGATATTAAAGTGCAGGATTTAAAAATATATGACAAGAATAGATATTTACCTGAATTGTGAATTTTTGAGTCTGTAATATTTTTTAAAAAACATATAGAAGCTAAATCTGTAGATTGTCAAGCAGATGACGCTGAGTAAAGAATAAATAGCTGCTCCAAAAACCATTAATGATTCAGACTGAAATATTTTTTTCCCATTATTTCTAATATATTCACTTGTATCTCATCATCATTTTATTAAGATTCTTATTATGATCCCCTATCTAATAAGCAACAAGTAGACCCATCATCCAATCCACCTGATGACATTTTCTGGCAGTTCTGGTTGAAATAGAAAATAATTAACTGATGTTTGAACTTATTTGCATTGAAAAAACAAGAGAGATCTTGACTGTTTTGATTGTCTTTTTGCCTCCATCTCAAAGGATAGGAAAATTGTAGATGTCATAACATCAGCAGCAATACCAAAGGCAAAAAAGAAAAAGAAAAATATCATAACATATTATTAGTTCTACTAAATCATGGATGAATAACTGTTAGCCCAAGGAGTTCATCTTATATTCTTAATATACATGCACCTAAATTCACATTTCCCTTCAACCCTCCCAGCATTTTGTTATTTTTAATTTTTTTTAAAATGTCAATTTAAAACTTTAATAATTAAAAGAAAAATATTAAAACAAAACTAAAAAATAGAGGTGGGAATTTGGGGTGGGGAGAAAGAGAGAGTGTAAGAGAAAGAGTAATTGTGAAAAACATGCACACAAACACACATATTTTGGGAAAGTGTGTCTCTCATTAAAGAACTGAATCAAATAATAAGTATTGTGGATATTTAAATCAATTATGTACTGCTGTAGTTATATAAAGATGGAAACTGCTGCACAAATTTCAATTGCTGTATTTATACACATCCACACCCACACATATGTATGCATTCATATATTACTGCACACCAAAACAATTAGACACAAGAAGTTTTTTCCCAAATGCCATCACTCTGCTAAAGAAATAATTCCCTCAACACTATCAAACTATTCACTATCTGCATTACTATTACTATTAGTCTTCTCATCATTCCTATCACCCATCTCCTCCCACTTATGACTGCATGACTGTAACTTTGTTGCTCGTATCCTTACAATTTATATTGATATAGACTGTTTCTTAGTATGATTTGATTGCTTATTTGTACCCTATGGCTATCATTAAGTATTGTACCTTATGATTCCTGATGAATGTATCTTGTCTTTTTATGTACACTGAGAGCATATGCACCAAAGATAAATTTTTTGTATGTCTAATCATACTTGGCCAAGTCTATTCTATTCTATTCTATATATGAATACAGATATGATCTTCAGGATACTTATGGAGAAATACAAACAGGTTACATATTCCTCTGTCCAGAGTGACATTTTTACAAGAATAATTTGCTTAGGAAAATATTAATATAACTAAGAACAAATCTGAATACATTTATCTTTCATTGCAGAAGTAATTTTTAACTTTAAATAATAATTTTGAGCCTGTATTTCCATATTTTAAAATATTACTGATCCAGTGAATTATGTACTATAACTGTATAGCATTTTGTTATTGTGAATTTGCATCTAACGCTAAGACCTGAATTTTTTTTTTATATTGCACTGACTAATTTATGCACCTTAAGAAACACCCAACACACCACATGAAAGATTGTTATTGATTTTCCCCAATTCAGAAACATTGACAAAAAGAACTGACTAATTGGGCATTAGCATCAAAGTTGGTAATATAGGTAAATTTGCTTACAGCTTTACCTTCACAATACATAAAGGTTATAATTTATATACTGCAATGTATATTTAGTAGAGAGTGGTGCTCTCCATGGAACATCTTAACATTCAATTCTTAACTTGTTGAAGTAGGTGTAAAAGGATTTCTACATTACAAAGTGCTAGATACTGTAGTAATGAGGTTCACTGAGCTCAGTGCCCAGCACTTTACACCCAGATATTTGAAGACATTCAGAATAACCTGTTTTGTTTGTTTAACACGAGAACTTTATACCACTTTTATACCATTTTTAAATGAGGTAGAAAAGCATGCAAACAAGAAGTAATGCTCCTTTCTCTCTCCCGCTTGAAGTCTTGCTGCAAATTTCTGATTTCTTAATAATAAGGGAGAAAGTGATGTTGGCCAGCTGATCAGTGGGAGAAGTGGGCAGGTGCCCAGGTTGTTATGGTCAAGGGCCATGTATAGTTTTTCCATCTGATCAGGAATGTCTTTAAGAGGTAAATATGGCAGCTGCCAAGGTTCCACACCTGCACAAGCCTCCAAATCTGGACCCAATTGCAGGAAAAAACACTTTGCTATTTTTTTAACCAATTTAACCACCAATCATACATTTCTTTTTTTTTAATTGAAAAGTTTTAAAATGTTTTACAAACAAATTCCCCCCTTCCCCCACCCCTTCCCCTCTCCCTCCCCCCCGACTTCCCAGAGCAAAATACAAGGTATTGCATTTAACAAACATAATCTAACATAAGCAAACTAACTATAAACTCTTAACTTCCCCTTACTCTTTAACTCCGCCATAGGTACTAAGATATCAAAGTAGAAGGAAAAAAAGAAAGAAATCATCTGAATATTTCATTCATAAGCTATTTGCAACTTTTTAGTCCCGTATTTGTTTTGTATATAGTCAATCCATCTTCTCCATTCCAGTACATATCTTTCATTTGAATAGTCCTTCAAATATGCAGAAATTTTAGCCATCTCCGCCAGATTGGCTACTTTTAATGTCCATTCTTCAATAGTAGGTATTTCTTCCTTCTTCCAGTATTGCGCCACCAAAAGTCTGGCTGCCGTTATTAAATTCAAAATCAAATTAGTCTCTATAACTGTACATCCTTCAATTATACCCAGTAAAAACAACTGTGGATGGAGTTTTGCCATCGGATCAGGAATGTCTTTACGAGGTAAATATGGCAGCTGCCAAGATTCCACACCTGCACAAGCCTCCAAATCTGGACCCAATTGTAGGAAAAAAAACTTTGCTATTTTTTTTAACCACTTTAACCACCAATCATACATTTCTATGACAACATTTATCTCAGTGTGTTTTTATTAAGTGACAAGAAAAACAGTTTGCTTTTTCTAGTGGTTAAGGTACCAAGATAAAAACCAGTAAATTCTAGTCCTGGTTGATCTCAAAAAAGTGAACTCTGCACTTGTGAAAAAGCATTAAGAAGAAAAGTAAGTTTTTTTATTTTTTAAAAAAGGTAAACGATTATTGGTTGTCCAAAGACATTCTCAAGCTGGTTTCTCAAAACTCGGAGGCCAACTCTGCGCACCATAGACTGGCTGTTATGGAAGAGAAATGTTTTTCTTTCTTGTGTAATGGCATAATGGCATGCATTTTCCGCTATTTATATATACTTACCATTTATCATTTTGCTGAGATTGATTTAAATTTATGGTTGCTTAAATATTGTCCATTGAAACCATATTTAGAATGAATGTTTCTTGCATTACTCCTTGTTTGATGAGTACAAAACTCTCCTTTAGATGGTGAACTGTAATAAAATATAAATATTACTGTTAGATTGATGGGAGCAGGGCTTCTTTGAGTAACTTTTTCAGTAAAGTAGCATCTTTGATTAATGTTTCTAGGTTCTTTGAAGTAAGAAGAAAGAACATGGATTCTGGTCGCAAGAATCTGGATCCTGATAAGAACTGGTTTCAACTGGCCAGAAAGGAAAACTGCCCAGAAAGTTGAACTTTAACAATCTGAAAACTCATTATAATGGGGAAAAAAAAACCCCTCCCAAATATGCAATTAGGCATCAACAAATTCATGCTAAGAATAATATGGGAAATACAAAGTATGCTCACTAGATATTTGATGAATCAAATGATGCTGGCCAATTAAAGAATACATTCCAAATTCAACATGTTTGAACTTAAAGTAATTAATAAATGATAAAGTTAACACTGTAGGTAATAGGACTTCTTTTTTCTTTGAAAACGTTTTGCTTCTCATCTAAGAAACGTCTTCAGTTCTAACAGGAATGGAAGGATTTATATTCTTTGCAGTCAGACAGTTTTAGCATTCTGTGGGTTGGTCATTAACATTCTGAGAGTCAATGAGACCATTTGGCATTTATCTGTATCCTTAGAGTCATCTGAATCAGAATGCACATGGGTGTGGAACCTTCTTGGGACTGCTGAAAGGGCTGTTATAAACAGGAAATGAGTGGTATTATATTCCTCGTCTTCTGTTGTGTAAAGTTCAGTTTTAATACAGATAGCCTTTTTCACTCTTCTTTCCAGATTGTAAACTTTGCTGTCTTCTAAAGACTGACTCTTGTCTTTCAGATGCAGATGGATTGCTGAATCCTGTCCTAAGGAATTTGTTCTCCTATCTTGTGCCATGTGTTAGATCGGCGCAGGGAAGCAAGACGCGACCAACTCTGGTCCAATTCAGTACTTTATTTAAGCACAAGAAAAAGACGAGCGGCTGGGCTGCCAGGGCTCTTTAAATACGCTCTGGCAGGCTCAGCCGCCCAATGACAGCTCTTTGAATTCCCCGCCGGGGGATTAGCCAATCCCCGGCGGATGCCCAAATAAGGACATAACACTCCTCCCCCCTTAGTCCGAAAAATGTCCATCACAATCGATGTACGTGACGAAGTCACGCAAGTAGGTGGGACGCCTGCTTGCCCGGGATGACCTGCGCAGTTCAGTCTGAGTTTCGCCGCCGACCTGTGCAGATGAAGCTCCTGTCTCTCCCGGCTCCCCGGTAGGGGTGGCCAGGGCCCCGGCCGTCGAGTGTGCGGGACCCGTCCCAGCACCTCCGGCCGCAACATCTGGAAGTTCGTGCTGGCGTCGCCGGTCCTTCCCTCACCCGGAATCTCTGGAACCTCGCGGCTGGACATCGCTGCTGTCCGGTGGGTGCCGTCCAAAGCCCGGTAAGTCCGTTGGTGTTTCTTTGGACTTCTGTGGCTCCCATCGCTGTCGCTGTCTAGTGTGGTCAACCTCGCTGGGGTGGTGCTCGTCTCCGCGGCTGGGTTGGTGCTGGTCGGCTTCGCAGGGTTGGTGCTGGCCGACCTCGCCGGGGTGGTGCTGTCCGACCTGGTCTGGGTGGTGCGCGCCTCCCCTACCGGAGTGGTGCTGGCCGACCTTGCAGGGCTGGTGCTGGTCGACCTTGCGGGGTTGGTGCTGGTCGACCCGGCCAGGATGCTGGTCGGGGTCTCCCTCGCCGGTCGGTCGCTGGCCAGCTCAGGTTGCGTGTTGTGTGCCTCCCTCATTTGGTTGTCCCCGGTCTACTTGCCTGGAGTGGAGGTCTCCCTGGCAGGGTTGTCGTTGGTCGCTTTTGCTGGAGGGGTGCGATTCTTCCTCCCTGGGTAGGTCCCGGTCTACCCCTTTGCTGTTGTGGCGGTCCCTCTCCCTGGGGTGACGGGTGCCCACCTCGCTGGGTTGGTGTTGCCATCCCTCATGTTGCAGGTCCCGGTCTACCGCTCTGGATTGTTGATGGGTTAGCGCATGGTAATGTGCTTGGCCGGCCTCGTCAGGGTGTCAGTGGTCTGCCTCGCCTGGGTGTGGTAGGCCTACCTCATCGGGGTGTCACAGGCCTACCTCGCTGGGGTGTTGTAGGCCTGCCTCATCGGGGTGTTGCAGGCCTATCTCGTCGGGGTGTTGCAGGCCTACCTCATCAGGCTGGTTTCCTTCCAATCCCCTCCACCTGGTCGATGTGACGTCTACAGACCTGTCCATCTTCCAGCTCGACTCGGTAGGACTTCGGGCCGGTTGTGCTCTCTATTCTCCCCTTTAGCCACTTCAGAGAGCCATTGAAGTTTAGCGCAAACACCGGGTCTCCTATGGCGAAGGCGCGGAGCGGCCGGCTGGCCGTTGTTGTCACCTTGGGGTTGTACTGGGGGTGCAGCCGGTCCAGGGGTGACCTCAGGCGTCTGCCCATCAGTAGCTCAGCTGGGCTCTTTCGGGTGGTGGCATGCGGGGTGATGTGCTGTGTTAGGAGGAAGTTGTCGATCCTCTCTTGCCAGTCGCCCGGACCCATCTTGGTGAGCGTCTCCTTGGTGAGTCTCACCATGCGTTCCGCTTGACCATTTCCGGCTGGCCTGTAAAATGCGGTGAGGGCATGGCGGATGCCCTGTCCCGCCAGGAACTCTTCCATGGCCTTGGAAGTTAGTTGTGGTCCGTTGTCTGATACCAGGACATCTGGCAGCCCGTGTGTTGCGAACAGGCGCCTGAGTGCCCTGATGGTGGCTTCGGAAGTGGTAGATGCCATGGGGATGACCTCTTGCCACTTGGAGAAGGCATCCATGACAATTAGGAGGTACTGCCCCTGCATCGGACCCACAAAGTCGATATGGATCCGTGCCCATGGGCTGCTGGACGTCTCCCACTCTGACACTGGGGCTTGGGCGGGGGCAGGACATACCTCTTGGCACGGGTCACATCTGGCGACCCACTCTTCAATGTCCTTGTCCAGGGATGGCCACCAGACGTAACTCCGTGCCAGTCCTTTCATCCTCACGATGCCAGGGTGTCCATAGTGGAGCGTCTCGAGCGTCTTCTTCTGTAGAGCGCTGGGAATCAGCACCCGGTCTCCCCATAGGATACAGCCTTTCATGGTGGACAGCTCCTGCTGCTTCCGTGAAAAAGGGCTGAATTTTTCTGCCGTTTTCTCTGCTGGCCAGCCTCGCAGGACCCAGGACCTCACTTGTCTGAGTATGGGGTCCCTCTGGGTGTGGGTGGCCACGTCTGCTGACATCACTGGGCAGTCTCTGTCGGCGTTGATGTGGAGGAGGCTTATGGTGGGTGTGGGGTCTTCTACTGGCTCCCTGGATGGGCACCTGCTCAGGGCATCTGCGTTCCCGATGGTTTTGCCGGGCTTGTGGATGAGGCTGTACGAATACCCGGCAAGGAAGATGGCCCAGCGTGTCATCCTGGGCAACATGTAACCGGGTGTGGGCTTGTCACCCGCTAAGAGTCCCAATAGTGGCTTATGGTCTGTGATGACCGTGAAGTTCCAGCCATATAGGTACTCATGGAAGCGCTTGACGCCAGCCACAATGGCCAAGGCTTCCTTGTCCAGCTGGCTGTAATTCCTTTCGGTGCTGGACATCGTTTTAGAGAAGTAGGCGATGGGTGCCTCTGATCCGTTGGGGAGCTGGTGGCTGAGGACTGCGCCAATCCCGTATGGTGAAGCGTCGCAGGTCAGCAGCAGGGGAAGCGTCTCATGGTACTGGATCAGCACGCTGTCTGAAGATAGGAGCCCCTTGATGGTCTTGAAGGCGGTTTCCTCTTCTGTCCCCCATCTCCACGGAACCGCTTTCCCCAGCAATCGATGGAGTGGCTCAGCGGCTGTTGCCTTCTGTTTAAGGAACACCGCATAAAAATTTAGCAATCCCAAAAATGCTTGAAGCTCGGCTTTATTTTGGGGGCTGGAGCTTCGTGGATTGCCCTGACTTTAGCTTTGGTGGGGTGGATACCGGTGCCATCTATGAGATAGCCCAGGAACTCGACCTCCTGGACCCCAATGATGCATTTGTCTCTCTTAACTCTCAAACCCTTCTCCTTGAAGTGCTGCAAAACTTGTTTAAGTCGCTCAAGCAGCTGGGTTTTAGAGTGCCCGGAGATCAACACATCATCAAAGTACGGCACCACCCCTGGAATGCCTTGGAGAAGGCGTTCCATCATCGATTGGAAAATGCCTGGGGCTGCGCTGACTCCAAATTGGAGGCGGTTGCACTTAAATGCGCCTCTATGGGTGACAATAGTTTGTGCCTCCGCAGTTTTTTCATCCACTGGCAATTGCTGGTAAGCCTGGGCCAGGTCCAGTTTTGGTGAATGCAGCAGATGTTGCACCACTGGAACTGGGTATGCGCTCTGCGATAGGGCCTTATTGATCGAACATTTATAGTCGGCGCAGATGCACACAGATCCATCATGCTTCATGGGGGTCACAATGGGCATCTCCCATGCTGCATGATCGATCGGTTCCAACACGCCCTGGGCTATCAGCTTATCTAGCTGAGCATCTACTTTGGGCCTCAGGGCAAACGGAACTCTGCGGGGCTTAAGCCTAATGGGGGTAATTGCCTTATCAAGATTAAAGGAAATGGGCTTTCCCACAAATTTCCCCACCTTACCGTCGATGACTTCCTTGAACTCTTCGAGGAGGGTGTCGAGTTCGTCCTGACGAATTTGGTTAACCCCTACTATCCCGAGCCCTAGTGGCTTGAACCACTCCATGCCTAGCAGGGTCGGGCGGCTGTGCTCAATGATGGTGATGGTGAGGTCGCCTTGGAATTCTCGGTAAGACACGTGGAGTGAGGCTCTTCCCAGGACTCCAATGTGGTTGCCTCTGAAATCCACCAGCCTGGAGCGCAGGGGTTTCAGGTCCTTCTTGCGGACATCTGGTTTGATGCACTTTAAGTTTTTCCAGTCCATGATGGAGTAGATGGAGCCAGAGTCTACTTCCATGGAACATGGGGTTCCCTCCAACAGCACGGTCACGTGGCACTTGGTGGTGTCGTCGTCGTCGGAGAGGTGTATTGTAGTTTGGTGCACTGCTCTCCTTCGGTTTCCGTCGCTCTCACCCCGTCTGGATTGGTAGGAGGACCGTTTGGATGACCTCGCGTTGTCCTCCCAATTTTCGCGAGGTTGGTGGCTGGAGGGCTCTGGGGCTGGTTCCTCGGCTCTGCAAGCCTCTGCGATGTGCCCCCTTCTGTTACAATGCCTGCAGGTTGCATCTCTCCATTTGCAGCTGGCTCTGGCGTGGTCTCCTCTGCAGCTGGCGCAGTGCTCTCCCCGATCGCTTTTCCGAGTGGTGTCTCGTTTGGGGGGCCTGGAGACCTTGTGCATGGTCGACTCTTCCTCTGACTCCGATCCAGCTGTGGAACCCTCAGATGATGATTGGGCAGCTCTGTGAATCTTATGGATTCCTTTTGCCCGGATCACTGCGGCTGCTG